CCGGTTACAGGGTTCAATGTACATTAAGACAGGGCGTTAATGGTAGCGCCAACTATAAAGTGCTATTAATGATCTTTAAGACTACGGAGTGAACGCCTGACCGTTGCCATCCTGAGTGACTCTAGTTCTTCTGTACTCCGAGTGGTTTCCTGTATGGTCGAATGACTTCATCCAGGTCGAGTGAAATTGGCGGTATCCGAGTGAGGTGACTGGTCGAATGGATTGCACTCCATGGCTACTTCAGTCGGTATTTCTTGCTATACTTTGAATGTCCTTGATTCTAGGGTAGTGACCTCGGGTAGGGCATATAGGTCAGGCCTATGACCCTACCCTAGGTCCATGGCATCGTCAGTGCCGGCTATTCTGGCGATGGTCCGGCTGTTCACAAGTGGCTCCTTCGGCAAGGCGTTGTGGCAGTAGCGATGTGAATCAACTTGGACGGTGTGGCCCCATTCTGATGGGTTGGATTGTAGGTGTGCGGCGATATGAATGAAAATCCTGCCCGGCTTTGCTCGGTGCCAGCGGCGACGACACCTGTGGGTGTCGTTCACCTTCCTGGAGGCGTAGCTGTGGTGCGTCGACACCTTGCTCACTCTCATTTGGTATGTTGTCTCCGGGCGAAAGCGTTGATTTGGTTCCGAATCGGCGATGACGGTGTCATTGTCGTCGTTCCTCCGTTGGGAGCATCATTTGTTGGAGGAGGGCTTGGAGGTTCCTTGTTGTGTTTCTTCGATGTTCGCCGCTGCTCTGGATTGTTCTTCAAGGGTGCTATGTACGCCATCGCGGGTGTTTCCAAGACGATAGCTTTCACAGAGTTGTCCGAGTCCCGCCACCCACCTGCCAACTCTCTTTAGGCGCTCATGGGTGGTTGGTGTGTTGGTAAAGAGAGTTCTTTGAAGTTGCTGCTCTTCGGAAGTGACCGGTGTTGGTCGAGACGCGGTCTTGTTAGACTTCTTAGGGCAGACTATTTTGGGTTGTGGTTGTTTTTATGATCGTTTGAGTTGGAGTGGTTCTTGCTTCTCACCGGATGTGGTGAGAGCTTCTTGTATTTCTTCTCTCTTTTTTTGAACTGGGCTATCCCCCTTTCCATTACTTAGAACGGAAATACAAGGTCTGACGAATAGTCCAAGAACAAGGAGAAGGGGAGAGCGAGTTCAACACACTGCTAGGAAACCACCGCACTCGCCCGCCATCGAAACGAGTGCTATGGGGCGAAAACCTAAGCAGCACCATAATAAAACTAGCCCTATTACAAAAGCAAAATGGCACGTCACCACAGAGTATCACAGAATATAGCTAAAACAGTCTTAGCAGCAAGGCTACCGCCACAGAAACTTCCAGCGTTGTTGTCATAGAAGAGCAACGGCCAGAGCAAGTGCTGCAACTTCACTTTCCACCCTTCGATGCGTCACAGGCCCTCATCAACAGCATGGTCCCGTTGCGAATCATCTCAGCACCCGCTCGGAGCTGCTTGATGTCTTCTCCCGCCTGCAAACCTGCCCAATACAAGAGAAAAGAAATTGTCGTAAAGACGATCTCAAAAGGAGATTTGATCATTTTTTCTCAAAGGTAGCTTTATTACGAGCCAGCTAGATGGCCCAAGTGACAGCCCCAAGTGCCACAGTATAGAACGATTCACATCCCGGCAAGAAAGAATGACACCAAACAAAAAACTGCCAGTAGTTACGAGGACATAAATCTGTCCCAAGTGTGACCCCAATCGATCGCCAAACAACCTTGGCCACAGAGCAATCAAAAAGTAAGTGCCGGGAAGTTTCAATTTGATGACAAAAGGAACACACAGGGTTCCCTTGCCATTTTCGCTGACGCATCACTTGCCTGGTAAGCACCGCATCCTGAGCAACTTGCCAAAGGAAGATCTGGATTTTAAGAGGGAGTTTGGCTTCCAAATCCATTTATAGGTACACCCACTAAGAGGTCTCTCTAGCCATTTGTACATGGATTTAGTAGTAAACCTACCCGACTTGTTCAAGCTCCAATACACAGAGTCTCTGTCTCCAGACAGATTCATCCTATGGACACAACTTCTCAACATCAACCACTGGTTTGTTAACTCGTCGTCTAATCTTCTACGAAAGAAGTCAGTACAGACCACAGCCTCCAGTTTGTCCAGAGTGCAATCCCGTGCAACGCAAATATTGTAAAGCCGGGGAATTGGTCCATAAACGGGGTCAGCCCGTTGATGGAGTCTTTCCATAACCGTGTCAGGTTACCAGATCCCGTATGGATTTTCCTCCCAATCATATACAGCTCCTTGATTTTCAAAAGATTTTTCCAGCATGGTGAGTCGTTGAAGCGGGCCTCGACAGTCTTGTATAAAGTTAAGGCACACAATTTGTGTGCTTTCGAAAAATAAAAATAAAGGGCACACATGTATAGGAAGAGGTTTTTTTGGGAGACTCCTGCAGATGCTCTAAGGCTGGTCATAGTGGAGAGTAACATATACTAGTATCATGCATATGATACTAGTGTATGATACTACATCTATAGTGCATAGTATCATAAAGTAGTATCATAGATGGTCTCATTTATTGTCATGCATGACACATACTCTCTCTTATGTTACGGTATCTACCTATGTTATGTTACGGTAACATAACATTTATTATGTTAGACTAGCCACAGTGGGAGTAACTTCAACAGTAACATCGAGTCCAACTCAGCAATTTTGCTTATGTGGCAATGAGTTAATGAGGAGAGAGGTAGTTACAGTAACTTAGCTAGTTACTGTAACATCACATGTCCCAATGCAATATGAGTCTATAACCTAATAAATGAAGCTTTGCATGTTACCACACTTATGTTACTACCCACTATGAAGGTAGTAACATAGTCTAGTGATTTGTGTAAGTTACTAGTGCATGTTACTATGCATCGTGGCTAGTCTTACGGTATCTACCTATGTTACTACTACCCTCTCTCTCTTCTTTAATTGCCTGCCACATAAGCATGTTTGCGAGTCCCAAGTACATGATACTACTCCCTCTCTCTCTCAGTTTACAGTGTGTGCGCGTATCCCTAGGTCGTCGATTTGATCAACCAAATACAAGTCATATATTACAAAAAATATACCAATATAAACTTCAGATGTTCTATTTTCAAACGGTGTAATTTTTGTGTTATATAGTTTATATTAGAGTGATAAAATTAACAACCTAGGTATATGCGTAGGACTTGTAAACTGAGACAGAGGAAGTAGTTATGTTACCCCCACTATGGCCAGCCTAACCCGCTTTGAAAAAACAAAAAAAAATTGAGACATGTCGTGTTCCCAGTTAGGCTGGTCATAGTGGGAGTAACATAGGTAGTAACATAGATGCCACATAAGCAAAATTGGTGATGTGGCAAGTAGTTAATGAGGAGAGAGGCAAATAGAGTAACATAATATGTTACCATCACATAGCGGTTTTCAATGCATAATGAGTCTACAAAGTAATAAATGAAGGCAACTATGTTACCACATCTATGACACTACCCACTATGAAGGTAGTAACATAGACTAGTAACATATGTATATTACTAGTCTAAGTTACTCTCCACTATGACCAGCCTTATTTCCAAACCTCAGAATCACGCAATCACACGGTTCCAAATGCCGGCTCGTCTTCCACAGTCCGGCCTTGCCATGGGAAACACCGCCCCGGCCGTCACCTCTTTCGACCCCTTCCTCCTCCTCTCCCCACCGCCTCCCCCTCCCACTTCCGCCGCGCCTGCGCGTGCTCCTTCTTAAATTTAGCAATGCCTCCTCTCCACCCATTCCCGCGCGCCTTCCCCGTCCCGCCCCAGCCTCCTCCACGCCCCGTCGCCTCCCCGCGAAACAACCACCTCCACCGTCGCCGCCTCCCCGCCCATGGGAGGGTGACCTCGCGTCCGTCTGTCCCCTTTCCAGACGGTGCCTTGCCGTGGCGTTTGCGGGGGCCGCCGAGGCTTGGTCCGCCTCACCTGATCCATCGTCTCTAGGTTTGTTTGTGCCTCTTCCCCCGCCGATCAGCCACCCCTGCTACCCTGTTCCAATGTGCTAGATAGATCAATACATTCCGGATTAAACCAGAGTTTTTTTAATTCGATGCCTTGCAAAATGCAAGGTGTGAAATACATGTCTGCTTGGTTCGGCGCTTCAATTTGATTTGTTTTGAATATGTTCCTTTGCCATTGTTGGGTGCTTGCATACATGATCAGGCACGCTCACATGTCACGTGCTAGTTTAACACAGCGTTGTTATGTTCAGAGAAAGTCAAAAGGGGTTTACTGCATACAGTTCCCAGCTAGGCCAATTTTGCTACTTAAACACCTTCAGATAACGGATCATGGATTTTATAATCGTATTCTACATATGTATGCCTGTCCGTGACAGTTATGTAATGCCATGGCAGGCAAATATGTAACTTCTGAGCTAGGAGTCTAGGAGATACTACATGACTTCATATAGTTGACTGGTCTGTATGTGCATGTTCTACCTCTAAATTACTCTTCTTGCATGTTCATGGATATGCATATTTATGTACTGAATTTATTTTAAAATGGCATATGTGATAGTTTCAGGACTGTGATGTATACTCAACTTATTAAAGTAACAGTGTCCATTTGTATACAGCTAGCTTATTAAGGCAACAGTGTCAATATAAGCATTTGGAATTAATGATCAATACAATTGTATTTTCATTCTTCTACAAATTCATTATTATTGGTTAATGCATTATTATCACTTAGACATTGTCGGTCTAAAACAACGTATTATGTCTTTAAAATGATGTATCATATGAGAAGGCTTTACCCAGGAATACAGAATTAGAGCAATGGTTATGACAGCAGAAAAGTTCTTCAGTTTTTTTGTTTCTTCCTGGGAAGTTGATTAATGCCTAGTGATCATGATCATTGTGAAGTTGTTGTTTTGTTTGGAATTGTAATGCACTATTTGGTCTTCCATATTCTATTTCTAGAGTTAAATGGTTCTACTATTGCACATTCTTACTGTAATAATGAACTATTTTGTGAAGTTTCAGATGAACTCCAGGTCATACAACAAACTGGACACCGCGAATGACAAAATGGATTTTAACACCCGCGGAAATACCGCATTCAATGGCACCTTAGACCGGAATCAATCAGGTGTGTCTGCCAATCCATCCACAGCATCCAAACCAGCTGCACACTCGCAGATCCCAATGGACTTCAGCACTCGTGAAAATACAGCGTTCAATGGCGCCGTAGACCGGAATCAACCGGGTGTCTCAGCCAATCCATCCACAGCATCCAAACAGGCTGCACACTCGCAGATCCCTTCGGATAAGAAACCACGTCCCAAGAAAGAAGATTTTGCTGACAAAGGAAACCCAAACCACATGACAAAACGCCTTGTTAATCCTGCGGAGAGCCCTGTGCTGACACCAACAAAAGCAGCATCCAGAGGCATGAACAGTAATACACAAGAGAAACTTAGTGATTCCGGTCTAACCATTCGTCAAGGTAGCGCTGACAGTCCAAGAAGTAACAGCTTGGATAGCTGCATGTCCGGCCATGTCAAGCATCACACCGGAGGGGACTGCCGATGGGAGGCCGTCCAGTTGGCCAGCTCCAGGGACTCCCCTCTCAGCCTAGTCCACTTTAGACTTCTGAAGCGCCTTGGATACGGAGACATCGGCAGTGTTTACCTTGTGGAGCTCAGGGGCACGGACACGTTCTTCGCGATGAAGGTGATGGACAAGGAGTCGCTCATCAGCAGGAACAAGCTGATCAGGGCGCAAACGGAGAGGGAGATACTCGGCCTTCTCGATCACCCTTTTCTGCCCACGCTGTACACTCATTTCGAGACCGACAAGTTCTACTGCCTTGTCATGGAGTATTGCTGCGGCGGTAATCTCCATTCGCTTCGGCAGAAGCAGCTGCACAAGCACTTCTCCGAGCATGCAGCCAGGTTGGTTCACTTCAGATTACTGTGTTTAGTACTACCTTGTTATTGGTACTCGATTGCTCATCATAATTCTCTTTCCCTTGATTGTTTCTGCCTAGTAGATTTTATGCCTCTGAGGTGTTGCTGGCACTGGAGTACCTCCACATGCTAGGCATTGTGTACCGAGACCTCAAGCCGGAGAACGTGCTCGTCCGAGACGGGGGGCACATCATGCTGTCCGACTTCGACCTGTCGCTGCGGTGCTCGGTGAGCCCGATGCTCGTGAAGTCGTCGTCGGTGCACGCAGGCCCCAACGGCATCGAGAAAGGGCTGACCAACACGGAGGGCGTGAGCAACGGGTGCATCCAGCCGTCGACGTTCTTCCCGCGGATGCTGAGCATGAGCATGAGCAAGAGGAACCGCAACAAGACCAAGTCGGACCTCAGCCTCCACGGGCTCCAGACCATGGAGTTCAACGCGGAGCCGACGGACGCCCGGTCCATGTCGTTCGTGGGCACCCACGAGTACCTGGCGCCGGAGATCATCCGAGGGGAGGGCCACGGCAGCGCGGTGGACTGGTGGACCTTCGGCATCTTCCTCTACGAGCTGCTGCACGGCATGACGCCCTTCAAGGGGAACGGCAACCGCGCCACGCTGAGCAACGTGGTGGAGCAGCCGCTGCGGTTCCCCGAGAGCCCGCCGGTGAGCAACGTCGCGCGGGACCTCATCCGGGGGCTGCTCACCAAGGACCCCCAGAAGAGGATCGCGACCAAGAGGGGCGCCACCGAGATCAAGCAGCACCCGTTCTTCGAGGGCGTGAACTGGGCGCTTGTCCGGAGCGCGCACCCGCCGTCGGTGCCGGACCCCGTCGACTTCAGGCAGTACCTAGGCAAGGAGAAGAAGGCAGAGCGTGGCCTTGGCACCGTTCCGAGCAGCTTATCGGCTGGCGCTGTCGCGGCAGCCAAGACGGCCTCCGGCCAGTTCGAGTATTTCTAGAACTGCATCGGGTTTTCTGAGTGCTTGTAGGACTACTGGACACCATAGATACAGATACAGATACCCCGGGCTCGTATATCACTGTAAACCCTCCTGTACTGTACTGCGGTGATTTCCGTTATATACCTGCTGAGATGTCTCATTTGCTAACGGCTGCTAATTGAACCATCAAGTTCTGTGAGATGCAGACATTCTTTTACAGTTAGATTAGATGGAAACATGTCTGATTAAATCTTTCCAACCTGAAAGCTGAAGATTGTGCACATGCCTGAAGTTTTGCAATATCCTTCTGTTTTGCTTCCTTGTTTTTATTTTGCTAGTGGTCATCAAAGTGGCACATAGTTCTATTCACACTTCCAGAGTCACTGAAGCTATCAACACGTCATGCACCAAGCATGTATAAAACCACAAAGTGAGGTAGACATATAACGTGGCGAAATTTCATCTTCCAGAAACGGCAATTACCAAACTACAACCAATTCATCTACAGTCATACCATCACCCCTAGACTTCTTCCATGCCTTTCGTGTGGATTGTGATTTACACACCCTTTTTGTACCGAGTTACTCCCTAAGTAGGTGAATTTGGCAATGGTCAGGTCTGGCCCAAGCTGGTAGACGCGATCCCATCTGCAGCTGGCGTGTCTCCCTTCAGTTCCAGCGCTTGAGCTCTGTTAGCCAACTCCTTTGCGAGAAGTTCGGTGTGTGCATCCAGGGACTTCTTGAAACCGGCAAAGCACTTATCGCAGGCGTACTTCGCGCCATCCCTGACCGATGATCCGACGATAATGCCAGACGCGTATGCGCTGCATGCGTCCAGGATGGCATGCTCCCGCTCGTGGAAATGGTGCACCACAAGGGTCTCAAAATGCTGCAGCAGGTGAAACGCTTGTAAGAATGAATTCAGTGGCATGAAGAACAACGCACGCGTGGTACAAATCTGAAGGATGTATTTTTTGCTATGTGATACAAACCAGTTCCACTTGGGATGGGACCTCGGTTTTCTTTAGAAAATACTGGTGCACAATGGTGGTGATATTTCAGAAACTCATTTTTCTTGCTCTATTTGTTCAACATTCCATAAATAAAAATATAAAATGTTACGAAGATGTGGAAAATTTGAAGTTGGTAATTTCATGTCACAACTCACAAGAAACAACTCCTCTTTCTATGGGTGCAGATTGTCTAACTTCACAGAGCTGACTTATCACAGCTAAAAAGGAATCAAGGAGATGGCAGGTACAATTGTTTCAACAAAAACAAAATTCAGCTATTAGGGTGTCCCAGTAATCTGTCATTGTTTCTCAAATTGTTCAGAATAAAGAGAATTTATGCTTCCATATTTATCGTAAAAAACGAAAACACAAATGATTTGATTTACTTATGTATCGTAGGAGCTTATTCTAACCCAATATGCATCTATGCAGTTTATTTTCAGGATGGGTATCAGCAATTTTGTAACCATGGCAACTGAGAATCTTCTTTTAGGCCATGAGGAGTAACCAAGACATCTTTTTACCATGGCAAGAAATGAGGGTTCTGTAATTACCTTTGGAGGCTTCCGAAGTGAATACAACATAGTCTTGCAGGATAGTACAAACGCAGTCTGATTATATGCCATGGAATGCTTTTCACCAAGAGGTGTATTAACCGTGTTTTTGTAGCCTGGCTCATTAAAGTATGGTTTATCATTCAACACAAGGCCCTGGATGGAGATCAACACCTGAAGCATGGTGGAATTCGACTTGCTCCACTTCTCACATCCAGAACCCCACCAAGTGTTCAGCAGGCTAAGGCACACCTTTCCACTCTCATACAGGTTTGGATTTAGTCGAAGCCCACCTGAATGGTAGTACACTTTCTGTACATATTGTATAGGTAATTGTAAAGAGATTGCATTTGTCGTGATAAAGTTGAAAAAGAAGGGGAAGGTGGGTGTGAAGTGCCAACATACCGGTGGACATCGCGGGTACTCAGGAGGAAAACGAACATCAAAGAAGAAAAGACCGTCATGATATGGAGTTCCAGAAGGCCCAACAATAGCAGCCCTTAGCAGATCAATCCTGTCCTCATAAACTCTAACATATATAGATCCTGCATAATTTGAAACCAAATTGAGACCCACGTTTTTATTAATTAAAAACTGATTTCAGGTGTAAATCCTCTGAAAGAAAGACTGCAGTGCAAATATGGCATGAGTCGCTGACACATTAGGTTAGCCTTAGTGATATGCCAACCTAATTTGACAGTTGCTTTTTTTTTTCATTTTTCCTGTTCTTCTCCAAGTATCGAATGATACTATCTGACACGGTATATCCAATATGATAGGAAAGGAGTTCTAAAATAATTATGAGTCTTTTAATTGTTGCAATAGGGGATTATTGCAGGAGTGCACCTAAATCCCGGCGTACATACAAGATGTTGCCAGAAAAGAGCCAAGAAATGCAGAGAACGATGACTATATG